CTACCACACCCTCTCTAAAAGTTTCTCCTACTTTAGCATTCAGGTCCCCTACCACAATTACTCTCTCACTTCTTTTTAAGGTTCCTATACATTCACTTAACATCTCCCAATATCTCTCTCTCTCCTCTACATTCCTCTCTTCTCCAGGTGCATACACGCTTATTATGACCCACTTTTCACATCCAACCTTTACTTTAATCCACATAATCCTTGAATTTACACATTCAAATTCTCTTTTCTCCTTCCATAACTGATCCTTCAACATTACTGCTACCCCTTCCTTGGCTCTAACTCTCTCGGATACTCCAGATTTAATCCCATTTATTTCCCCCCACCGAAACTTTCCAACCCCCTTCAGCTTTGTTTCGCTTAGGGCCAGGACATCCAACTTCTTTTCATTCATAACATCAGCAATCATCTACATCCACGCACATTCAAGCATCCCAGTTTTATAAAGTTTTTCTTCTCTTTTTTAGTAAATGTCTACAGGAGAAGGGGTTACTAGCCCATCGCTCCCGGCAATTTAGTCGCCTCATACGACACGCATGACTTACAAAGGAAAGATTCTTTTCCACTTCTCCATGGACAATAGAAGAAATAAATTAGAACAAGAGCTATTTAGAAAAAGGAGAAAAACCTAGATGTATGTATATATATGCATGTGCGTGTCTGTGAAGTGACCAAATTGTAAGTAGGAGTAGCAAGATATCCCTGTTATCTAGCGTGTTTGAGACAGAAAAAGGCACCAGCAATCCTACCATCATGCCAAACAGTTACAGGTTTCTGTTTCACAGTCATCTGGCAGGTAGTACTTCCCTGGGTGGTTGCTGTCTACCAACCTACTACCTATGTGATACTCTCTCTGTATTCACCTCCTGTGATTTATGTCATTCTCACCTTACCTTCAGTTGTCATTAGTCACTACCCATGAAATTCATACACTGTGTTAAAGGAATGTAAAGAGGAACTTTCATACCTTTGGCTAATCTTTTCAACAAATCACTACAAACTGGCATAGTGCCTGTTAAGTGGAAAATGGCAAATGTAATACCTATTTACAAGGCAGATGACAGGTCCTTGGCTTCAAATTATAGGCCAATAAGCCTTAGCTCCATAGTGGGAAAATATATGGAATCAATAATTGCCAAAGCAATTCATAGCCATCTTGATAGGCATAAATTGATTAATGAATCTCAACACGGTTTTACAAAGGGGCGTTCCTGTCTTAGGAATTTACTAACTTTTTTCACTAAGGTGTTTGAGGAGGTAGATCATGGTAATGAATATGATGTTGTGTATATGGATTTCAGTAAGACTTTTGATAGAGTTCCACATCAGAGGCTACTGAGGAAACTTAAGGCACATGGAATAGGAGGAGAAATTGTTTCCTGGGTAGAGGCATGGCTGACAAATAGGCAGCAGAGTTTGCATAAATGGGGAGAAATCAGAATGGGGGCACGTCACAAGCGGTGTTCCGCAGGGGTCAGTGTTGGGCCCATTGTTGTTCACAATTTACATAAATGACATAGATTAGGGAATAAATAGCGACATAAGCAAATTTGCTGGTGACACCAAAATAGGCCATCCAATTCGTTCTAATGAGGACACTAGAGCACTCCAGGATGATTTGAATAGACAGATGCAATGGTCGGAGAAGTGGTAGATGCAGTTTAATATAGACAAATGCAAAGTTCTATATGTTGGACAGGAAAATAACAATGCCACATATAAACTAAATACACCTACGAACTGACTTACGACCTGCTCGACATACGACCACTCGACTTACGACCGTGTTTTTTATGCCAAATTTCTGGGAAATAAACAACTGTTTGTGTTGTACACCGTGTTTATCCTAAACCTCACAGTATAAAATACAGCACTAACAGCATAAAAAGTAAAGTAAAAAATTAAATACCAAAATAAAACAATAAAATGAAGTCATTACAAAAATGTGATGTTGATATTCAGTAGTAAAGTTCGACTGACGTCCATTTTGACTTACGACCGGTTGGTCAGAACCATCCTCGGTCATAAGTCGGATGGTAGGTGTAATGTAGATCTTAATACTACTGATTGCAAAAAGGATTTAGGAGTTCTGATTAGCAGTAATCTAAAACCAAGACAACAGTGCATTAGTATTCGCAATAAAGCTAACAGAATCCTTGGTTTCATATCAAGAAGCATAAATAACAGAAGTTTTCAGGTTGTTCTTCAGCTCTATATATCTTTCGTTATGCTGCACAGTTCTGGTCACCGTATTACAGAATGGATATAAATGCACTGGAAAACGTGTAGAGGAGGATGACAAAGTTGATCCCATGTATCAGAAATCCTCCCTATGAGGATAGACTGAGGGCCCTGAATCTGTACTCTCTAGAAAGGCGTAGAATTAGGGGGTATATGATCGAAGTGTATAAATGGAAAACAGGAATAAATAAAGGGGATGTAAATAGCGTACTGAAAATTTCCGGCCAAGACAGGACTCACAGCAATGGTTTCGAGTTGGAAAAATTCAGGAAGGATATAGGAAAGCACTGGTTTGGTAATAGAGTTGTGGATGAGTGGAACAAACTCCCGAGTACAGTTATAGAGGCTAAAACGTTGTATAGTTTTAAAAATAGGTTAGATAAATACATGAGTGGGTGTGAGTTGGACCTGACTAGCTTGTGCTACTAGGTCTGATGCTGTGCTCCTTTCTAAAGTGGAATTGACCTGACTAGGTGGGTCATTGGGCTAATCCAGGGGGGGAGGGAGGACATCGACCTGCTTTGCATGGGTCAGTAGGTCTGCTGCAGTGTTCTTTCTTTCTTATGTTCTTATATAACCCTCCAGGAGGGGTGTTAATGTTGCAGTTTAAAAACTGTAGTGTAGCGCACCCTTCTGGCAAGACAGTGATGGAGTAAATGATGGTGAAAATTTTTCTTTTTCGGGCCACCCTGCCTTGGTGGGAATCGGCCAGTGTGATAATAATAAAAAAAAAATAACCCTCCAGACATCTTGAGTCCTGAACTGAACTCGTCTTACACACTTAAGTATAAGTTGAATAACTAATGATTTTCAATGAAATTTGGGGGTAAAGAAAAAACTGGGTTTGCCTTAACCTTCTTTTGCCCAGTTGTTGACTCTGGTTACAGCCAGGTGCAAAAGACCTTGAACTGCTACCTGTGTATGTAATAGAAACTCAGGAGTGGGGATTGAAAGATTGCTGTTGTGGGAGGTGAAGACCAAATGGTAGAGGAATGGGGTAAGGAGCTGGAGGATGCTTGGTGGAGGAAGGGTGGGGAGGGAAGGGAGGTGTAGTCTGGAAGCAATGAGGCAGCATGATGGTGAGGGTGGCACTGTCAGTGGCCCAGTGTGGGTGTTGGGTGATTGGATGTACAAGTGTGCAGTTGTTGGTGTAGGCAGTAATGAGAGAGATGGGTGGCTACGTGACTAGGTGTGTGGGCTGTGAAAGCATGGATAAAGTGTGGGTGTAGGACTGTGGGGGAAAGGTGGTGTGAGTGAAAGCATGGGTAAGGTGTGGGAGTGGGTCTATGTGGGCATGAAGCTGTAGGGGAGTTGTGTGGGTGAAAGATATGGCTGTCGGTGGCCTGGTGTGGGTGGTGAATTGATGATGGGTGTGTGGTTGGTGGTGTTGGCAATATAATGAGGTGGTGGGTGACTTAAGTGATCAGGTATGTGGGTGGCATTATAGAGTGAAAGGCAGGGTAAGGTGTAGGTGTGGACATGAGGTTGAGGGGCTGGGCAAGGTGTGGTCTTCAGGTAGCAGGGAAATGGTGTTGGTGTAGGTATAGGTGAGTGTGGGAGTAGGTTGAGCATGAGTAGGTTACAGGTTGGGATGGTGTGGGTAAAGGCGTGTGGCCGTGGGGGAATTATAGGGGTTGGTGGTATCGGTGGGAGTTGTGTGCAGCAAGGGTGCGTGGCCATGAGGGAGAGGGGAAGGTTGAATGAGCAATTGGTGTGGGTGGAGGTGTGTGGGGTACTGGATGTGTATGAAAGTAGCACAAGGTATGGTACTGGATGTGTGTGAAAGTAGCACGAAGTATGGTACTAAAAGTGTATGAATGAAGCGCAGAGCCTGCTGTACAGCCTCTCTACCACACACACTAACCTTCACCCACCATGCCCAACATAAACACTATTTTTCACACCCCTCTGCCCATATGCTCAAGCCATCACCAGCCTTCACCCATCCCATCACACACACGTCCTCACCCTTCTGCCAATATGTTGGAAAGCGAGATGGCTGTGGAAAGACACCTTCACCAACATCAGGACCCCACTTTCACCCATCTCCCAAAGTTGCTCTTTACTCATACTCCCCCTCCATGCTTCTCCTCCTCCCCACTATGCTTTCTTGGACCTCACCTCCCACACACTTGCACCATCCTCTCTCCCTAACACTTGCCCTCACCTGCATATCCTCACCCCAGTGCCCATCTGACTATATGGTCCAATGCCACATGGGATGTACAATGGGTGAAGGGAATATGGGATGGAAGTGACAGCATGCACCAACAGACCACTCTCTCATACGTCACTTAACCTTCTTCGTGCAGTACCTTGTCCTCACTCTCTAGCTCCCATGCTCCCACTAACTAGCTGTCCCACTCCAACCCACTATCCCATAGGCTCAATGAGGTGAAGGGCAAACACAGTGGTATGTGACATATTATTTCCTACACGTACTCAAAAAATATGCTGAAATTTTGCAAAAAGTTTTAAAAGAAAATGTGTTATCCAAAGGTCTACTATAGTAAGATTGAAAAATGAAGTTATTTAACAAATATGGAGTTTTTAACATAATTCTATTTTTCCCACATGTTTTTCACATCAGTTAGCATTGGGTTTAGCACTTAGTTATAAGTGTAATAATAAATAATCAGTCAGCACTATTTTAGGTAAGATTGATTTTCAGGAACATAATCTGCATCCTAATTGAGAGCATATTGTAATTATTTTATTTAATGCTAGGGAAAGGAAACAGTCTCACTCACCTGCCTGGTAGTCGTACAGTGCTCGGGCACACAGTCCATGCTCAGGAAGGATCTGATATTCCATACCCTAAAATAACACAAAATCTATTTTTACAATCACAAATAACAGCATTAATTAGAAGCACAGGCTGGTACACTGATTTAATATATTACCTTGATTAGTTTGGTGCACTGCTCTGTGTACTGATGGTTTACACTATAAAAACATATAATATACAGAATGACAGAAACCATGCTTTAGTCAAGTACTTTCAAAATATACAAGACAAGACCTCCATGAGGATGTCCTGTGGTGTACAATTGTGTGTTAAAGAATCTCCTGTGGCTGAAAGGTAAATAAAATAAGACTCAAAACTTGAAAATTTGCTGCAAGGTCAACATGCTCTTTCAGTATTCAGTATACTAGTCTTGAGAATTAGAAATTATTATAGCCTATAATATTAAAACCTATAGTAGGTTGGTAGACAGCAACCACCCAGGGAGGTACTACCGTCCTGACAAATGAGTGTAAAACTAAAACCTGTAATTGTTTTACAAGATGGTAGGATTGCTGGTGTCTTTTGTCTGTCTCATAAATATGCAAGATTACAGGTACATCTTGCTACTTCTACTTAGGCCACACTACACGTTCGTTTATACACATTCATCCGAGTTTTCTTTGATTTTATCTTAGTTCTTGTTCTAATTACTTTTCCTTTTATATCCATGGGGAAGTGGAATAAGAATCTTTCCTCCGTAAGCCATGCATCTTGTAAAAGTCAACTAAAATGCCAGGAACAATGGGCTAGTAACCCCTTTTCCTGTAATAATTACTAAAAAGAATAAGAAAATTGTCAAAGTGGGAAGTCTGAATGTGCATGGATGTTGTGCAAATCATAAGAAAGAGATGATTGTGGATGTTATGAATGAGAAGAAGCTGGATGTCCTGGCTTTAAGTGAAACAAAGCTGAAGGGGGTGGGTGAGTTTCAGTGGAGAGGAATAAATGGGATTAGGTCAGGGGCTTCTAATAGAGTTAGAGCTAAAGAAGGAGTAGCAATAATATTGAAGGATAAGCTATGGCAGGAAAAGAGGGACTATAAATGTATTAATTCAAGGATTATGTGGAGTAAAATAAAGGTTGGATATGAGAAGTGGGTTATAGTAAGTGTATATGTACCTGGGGAAGAAAGAAGTATGGAGGAGAGAGAGAGAGATTTTGGGAAATGTTGAGTGAATGCGTGGGGAGTTTTGAACCAAGTGTGAGAGTACTTGTGGTTGGGGATTTTAATGCTCAAGTGGGTAAAAAATGTGGAGGGAGTAGTAGGTAAATTTGGGGTGCCAGGGGTAAATGAAAATGGGGAGCCTTTAATTGAGCTATGTGTAGAAAGAGGTTTGGTAATAAGTAATACATATTTATGAAAAAGAGGATAAATAAATAAAAAAAGGCACAATACCGTGACTGGAACGATACACAAATAACCCGCACATAGAAGAGAGGAGCTTACGACGACGTTTCGGTCCGACTTGGACCATTTACAAAGTCACACTAACCAGAAGTGGAGCAGGACGGCTATATATAGGCAGGAAGAGGTAGTGGTGGTAGTAGTAGTGGTAATAGTGGGGAACTGAGGAGGAGGAGCCAGTCAAATACAAAGGAAGGGGAGCACTGCAAGGGAGCTAGGTGCCCACAGAAGGATAGCAAGTGCACAGAGGTGGGGGAAGGGGAAGTGATGAAATAAATAATGAAGGAACAGAAACACGCGACAAAAGAAAGAAAGACAAAAAAGGAAAGAGGAAAGGGGAAAAGGGAGAAGAAGAAAAAATAAAATAAATGAGGAATCAGGTTAAGTCACGGGTGTTCTGAAGTTTGGAGCATTTTACAATGTAGTGGGAGAGGAAGGCATTTACAGAGACAAAGCCAGGACTAAGATTCATACAAGGAAAGTTTTGTATTAAAGAGGATTCAACTAGACGGCGACTGTTAGAGTTGGAAGTAGGGAAGACAGTTTTAGCGGAAAACCAGTCAATAGGATGGCTGTGATCTCTGACGTGACAGAACAGAGCATTGTTAGTGTCGGCAAGCCTAACACTATTTTTATGCTCCCTAAGTCTGTCAGAAAGAGATCGGCCAGTTTCTCCAAAGTATTGAAGAGGACAGGAGGAGCAAGAAATAGAGTAGACACCAGGAACATCTGTAGAGGGAGGAGAGGTATGAACGAGATTAGTGCGAAGAGTGTTAGTCTGGCGGGAAGTAAGCTTGATGTCTAAGGGACGGAGAAAATTGTTGAGATTAGAAAGACTGGAAATGTAGGGAAGGCAGAGGCCAGAAGAGTTCCCAGGAGTAGAGAGTTTGGGAGAGAAGAAATTACGTTTAGCACGTGAGAAGGCAGAGTCTATGAAATGGGAAGGGTAGCCAAGATGGGAAAACGAATTATGAAGAGTGGAAATTTCTGCTGGAAGGAACTGAGGATCACAGATGCGGAGGGCACGGAGAAAGAGGGAGATAAGAACACTTTTCTTGACAGGGGAAGCATGATAGGAAAAGTAGTGAATGTACATGCCACTGTGCATAGGTTTTCAGTAAACGGAAAAGGAAAAACCTGTATCTGAGCGGTGGACATGAACATCAAGGAAAGGAAGCAAGGAATTAGATTCCCATTCAGCTTTAAACTTAATGGAAGGGGCAAGATTATTAAAAGCTTCAAGAAAAGGTTGGAAGAGACTGGAGTCATGAGGCCACAGAGCAAAGATGTCATCCACATAGCAGAGCTAGAAAGAAGGTTGCACATCGATGGTAGGAAGAACAACAGTCTCGAAGTATTCCATGTAAAGATTAGCAAGGACAGGAGAGAGAGGAGAGCCCATAGCGACACCAAAGGTTTGAGAATAATATTTCCCTTGGAAGGAAAATGAATTAGAGTCCACACAGAGGCGGATAAGATCAAGAAAGACTTCAATAGGTATAGGGAGATGTAGAAACCCTTCAAGGGCCTTATATCTAAGGAAATCGAGGACATCATCAAGAGGGACATTGGTGAAGAGGGACTCAACGTCAAGACTAAGCATCTTGCAGGTTGGGAGAGAGTGAACCCATTCAATGAAGTCTTGAGAGTGACGGAGGTGGGCAGGAGAAAAAGTACCAAGAAAGGGAGTGAGGGTTTTGGCCAACCAAGAAGCAAGAGAATAAGAGAGAAAACCTCTAGAGGATATGATAGGACAAAGAGGAATATCAGGTTTATGAGTTTTGGGAAGGCCATAGAAATAGGGAAGAGAGGGACAGATGACACGAAACCATTGAACAAGGTCAAAGTCAGGAGGACAGAGGTTGGAGAGAGAGTCCTTAGCTTCTTGTTGAAAGTTCTCTTGATGCAATCAAGAGGGTTGGAAACGAGAGGAGTGTAGGTACGTGAGTCATAGAGCAAGACATCAGCTTTACAGAGGTACTCCTCGCGATCAAGGATAACTACCGAATTATCTTTGTCAGAAGATAGTATGACAATGTTAGTGTTAGATTTAAGAGAAGAAAGGGCAAGTTGGTAATGGCGCGGAAGGTGGTGATTCTTAGAAAACAGACTAACAAGAGCAGGAAGGAGAGCGCCACGAAAAGTGGACAAGTCAGGAAGATTATGGGAGCGAGATTGATGAAAGGAATCAAAAGAGCTAATCAGGGCAATACCAGCACGAGGGGTAGGCGAAGTGGCAAAGGAAAGGCTAAAACCAAGAAGTTCAAGCTCATACTGAGAGAGTGAAACAGAAGACAAGTTAGTAACACAGTCAATGAGGGAGAATTTAGACCAAGGGCTGGCTGAGATGAGACGTTGTAGTTTATTTTGTAGTTTAGGCTCTGCCTTCTCACGTGCTAAATGTAATTTCTTCTCTCCCAAACTCTCTACTCCTGGGAACTCTTCTGGCCTCTGCCTTCCCTACATTTCTGGTCTTTCTAATCTCAACAATTCTCTCCGTCCCTTAGACATCAAGCTTACTTCCCGCCAGGCTAACACTCTTTGCACTAATCTCGTTCACACCTCTCCTCCCTCTACAGATGTTCCTGGTGCCTACTCTATTTCTTGCTCCTCCTGTCCTCTTCAATACTTTGGAGAAACTGGCCGATCTCTTTCTGACAGACTTAGGGAGCACAAAAATAGTGTTAGGCTTGCCGACACTAACAATGCTCTGTTCTGTCACGTCAGAGATCACAGCCATCCTATTGACTGGCCTTCCGCTAAAACTGTCTTCCCTACTTCCAACTCTAACAGTCGCCGTCTAGTTGAATCCTCTCTAATACACAACTTTCCTTGTATGAATCTTAGTCCTGGCTTCGTCTCTGTAAATGCCTTCCTCTCCCACTACATTGTAAAATGCTCCAAACTGCAGAACACCCGTGACTTAACCTGCTTCCTCTTTTTTTTTCTTCTTCTCCCTTTTCCCCTTTCCTCTTTCCTTTTTTGTGTTTCTTCTTCTGTCGCGTGTTTCTGTTCCTTCATTATTTATTTCATCAATTCCCCTTCCCCCCACCTCTGTGCACTTGCTCTCCCTCTGTGGGCACCTAGCTCCCTTGCAGTGCTCCCCTTTCTTTGTATTTGATTGGCTGCTCCTCCTTAATTCCCCACTACCACCACTATACTACTACCACCACTACCTCTTCCTGCCTATATATAGCCGTCCTGCTCCACTTCTGGTTAGTGTGACTTTGTAAATGGTCCAAGTCGGACCGAAACGTCGTCGTAAGCTCCTCTCTTCTATGTGCGGGTTATTTGAGGATAAATAAATATACAAGGTATGATATAACGTGTAATGAAAGTAGTTTGTTAGATTATGTACTGGTGGATAAAAGGTTGATGGGTAGGCTCCAGGATGTACACGTTTATAGAGGGGCAACTGATATATCGGATCATTATCTAGTTGTAGCTACAGTTAGAGTAAGAGGTAGATGGGATAAGAGGAAAATGGCAACAATACATAAGAGGGAGGTGAAAGTGTATAAACTAAGGGAGGAGGAAGTTCTGGTGAAATATAAGCAACAAGGGCAAAAGGTGGGCGGTGCGGGTAGATGGGGGGGGGTTGAAGGGGGTTGGATATTTTTAAAA